GAAATGTTTTGTTTCAGCTTGGGGTTATTTGGCCCCCCCTTTTTTTTGTCCTTTGTCTAAATTTAAATGAGTGTTTAGAGGAACGAGGTGGAAAGTTTTGCTTCAGAAAGGTTGAGCATTTCCAAATGGTCCCATTTTTCCAGGGGAGGCTCTTCGGGGAACGTGAGCTACTGCCTGGCTGGTCTTACCGCCAGGCACGGGAAACCTCTTGGGAGCCCTTGGTTCTTGCTATGGGGCTTTCCGTGCTTCTGCCATCTGGGTTTCTGTGCATCGATCTCTCCTTCCTTCCCCTGGGACACAAATCTTCAGCCGGAGCCCGTTCACTGTTGTTTTGCTCTCGGTATTGAACTGAATTGAATTGAACTCCGCGTTACAGTTTTCTTGCTGCTTCCAGACGTATCTCCACAGGTCACACCAAGCAAAACCATCTCCCTCTCTACGGCTCTCATCTTTTTCAGATTTGCAGATTCGTATCGTGTCTCCTCCATGTCCCGGTCAGACCCAGCTGCTCTTGTTCCTCAAACTCTGCATGAACAAGGCCCTCAAGTTCATGACTACTCTCTGCCCTTCCTGGGACTCCCTCCTCGTTTCATAGGATGTTTCTAGGGTAGCTCCTGTGTGTTTGTGCAGGGCCTCACACAATGGGCCTTGACCCACAGCTGGAAACCCTAGATGCTAGTGCAATGCAAATCGTTTCTTCTTTCGTATGATGAAAACGGTGTCCGTATCTCCATCTTGGTGCGCTTTGGCATTTTTGTCGATTCGGGAGCTCTTGGCCATCAGAGAGGTTACCAGGGATCACTACATGGAAGTGGCTCTCGTCGATCCCCATGCACATAGTAATTAATAAGAACAAATGCTTATCCCAGCGGGTGTGGAAGCTGAGCCACACAGGACTACTTTGTGGACGTGAACCCTTCTCGTGCTGTCGGTCATCGCTTCAGGCCTGAGCAAGGCTCTGCCATCCCTGCCCCTTGTCCAGGTAGCGAGGACAGCTGCCTCGTTACATTTATACACTTCCGCTTCTCTATGAGGGTGCGTTGTTGGCCCAGCTCCCACTCCCAGCCGGGAGGACCAGTGCACGGATGTTCGTTTGGTTCTTGCCTTTCTTCCGGCCTGTCCAGCATGGGTAGCATCACCAAGGGTAACAGCTCCCACAGGTGCAGCTCTGCAAGCCAGGAGCACGCTCTTTGCACATTTTTATTGATTATTTGGAGGCCGAAAATGGAGAGTTTCCTGATTAAGCTGGCACATGTCATACACTGGGGAAGGTCTGCGTAGTTTGGGGGGCAGGACAAGAATAGAAAAGGATCGTAGTAAATTAGGAATCTGGGCTATAACCAATGAAATCCAACAGAGGAAACTCTGCTAGATCTTTAGAAGAAGAATCAAGCAGTGCCTAGAGGATGGGGACACCCTGCGTCGCTGAGATGGATCTGGATCCCCAGCTCGGCTTGAGCCCACGATGAGACACTGCTGCAGGGCCGGGCTGCGCTCGCAGCAGTATTGTAGGCGGGACGCGTTGGTGATAGCACTGCTCACCCTACGTCCAGCTCCGGGCACCGCATTTTAACCAGTGTGGGGAGAAACTGGAGAGGGTCTAATGGTAATTGATAGGGATGGTATAAAGGACCTAAGGCAACGGTGTGAGGGCAGGTTTCATAGTTTCATAGTTTCTAGGGTCGGAAGGGACCTGAGCAGATCATCTAGTCCGACCCCCTGCCATGGCAGGAAGAGCACTGGGGTCAAACGACCCCAGTAAGGTGGTCATCCAACCTCCTCTTAAAAACCCCCAGGGTGGGAGCCTGCACCACCTCACTTGGAAGCTGGTTCCAGACCCTAGCCGCCCTGACCGTGAAGTAGCGCCTCCTGATGTCCAACTTAAACCTTCCCTCCGCCAGCTTGTGACCATTGTTCCTGGTCACTCCTTGCGGCGCTCGGGGGAACAGGGACTCCCCCAGCGCCTGCTGATCCCCCCTAACCAGTTTATAACAGGCCACAAGATCCCCCCTCAGCCTTCTCTTTTGAAGGCTGAACAGGTTCAGGTCCCACAACCTTTCCTCATAGGACCTACCCTGCTGTCCCTTGATCATACGAGTGGCCCTCCTCTGGACCCTCTCGATGCTGTCCACATCCCTCTTAAAGTGCGGCGCCCAGAACTGGACGCAGTACTCCAGCTGCGGCCTGACCAGTGCCGCATAGAGGGGGAGGATCACCTCCTTGGACCTGCTCGAGATGCATCTGTGGATGCACGACAAGGTGCAGTTGGCCTTCCTAGCCGCCTCCCCACATTGCCAACTCATGTTCATCTTGGAGTCAATAATGACTCCCAGATCCTTTTCCACCTCCGTGCTGACAAGAGGGGAGTTCCCCAGCCTGTATGTGTGGTGCCGATTGTTCCTCCCCAGGTGCATCACCTTACACTTGTCCGTGTTAAACCCCATCCTGTTCTCCTCCGCCCATCCTTGTAACCTGTCTAGGTCCAACTGTAGCCTGGTTGGGAGAGCTAAGTGGGCTTCACCTGGAGGAAAGCCGAGGAAGGGGAGATGCGATGGCAGGCTTCAAGTATCCAAAAGGCTGCTGTCAAGGAGGAGGGCAGCTGTTCTCCCGTGCCAGAGAGGGCAAGACTGAGGCCTTGGGTTTAAGCTGCAGCAAGCCAGAGTTACGAGTAAATCTCATTTCAAAAGTCCTAATTGTAAGAACTGTCGGGCAGCTGACGAGCTGCTTAGGGAAGTCATGGGCCCTCCTGCGCTGGAGGCTTTGGAGCATCCTACGTTTGTGCAGAGGGTTGGCCCAGGTGACCCTGGGATCCCTTCCACCCCGTGGCCCTCTGCGAGGGAAGGAGGGGGCTGCTGCCATATGACTTACATGCCTTATACTTATATAGGGGCCCGATGTCTCCATGCCTCTTCTCCCTCGGTCAGTGCAGCTGCGCAGCAGAGCTGCCCGGGTCTCTGCGTGCCCTGTGCCTGGCCAGTCTCCTGTCTCGCTGGCAGCCACCTCTGTCCTCTCTGCTTACTAGGCACCTCCATCCGTCCAAGCGTTTAGCTTTCAGACTGTTTTCCGTGGGTGAATTAGGATGCGTTATGCTCACTTAGTCAGACCTCCCGTAGCCTCTGCAGCAGGCACGCACTTGTGTCTGACCTGCACCGCGGAGCCTGCAGAAAGGCCGGCGGTCTCGATGAAAGCCTTGGCAGGATGGAGACTCCCCCATGACCCTGGAGAAACTGCTTTGACACTTTCTCATGCTGTTAAGAATTTGCATCTTATTTCTATTCTGAATTGTCTGGCTCCAGCTGCAGCTCCTCACCACGGGATCGTGCCTTTCCTGTTCCTGCCGCATGAAAGAGCTTCCTGGCCTCTCTCAGGTGCTGGGCTTTGTGCCCTTACCTCTGCCAGGACGGACTCACGCAGGTCTCCCTCAGCCCCGCCAGGACCGTCGGGCTCTGTCTCCACTGTGCCCACCCCACAGGGCTGCTTGGATTCGGCACCTGCCTTCCTCCCCTCGGGGCTCTGGCCAGGGGTGTGTTTAGCAACCAGACAGCTGGCGTCAATGGAAATACTGCTCATTTGCACAGCAGGACAAAGAGGTGCACGGAAGGGATACTGAAACAATCAGCAGCCCCACGTGTGCCCGTGCTGCCTGTCAGCTAGGCTGAAGGGCTGACCTCCCAGCAGGCCTGGGCACCTGGTTTGAAAAGCTCCCTAATAACGGAGGGAGTCTCATTACTGATGCCGGATTCCTCCATCCTCGTCCGTTGCTGCATCTGGCCCTGCTTCTCCAGCCTGGTTTGGCAGGCCCCACAGGATCCTGAGAGCCGGCAGCTCCTCTGCTTTCCATGCAGCAATTTGTCTTTATCCATTGCTGTATGGCAGTCATCGGCTGTTGCAGAAGAGCTCTGTGCTCCATCGTGATACCCTCTTGACATCGGTCTTTCTGTCTTTTTTTCACTTGGAGTAGCCAAATAAATTGAGCTGCTTTAGCCTCTCTTTAGAAGACCAGTTTTTCAGACCTTAAATCATTCGCATAGCTCTTTGCTGAACCATTTACAATTTTACAGCATCTTTTTCAAAGCGTGGACGGGAGACAGCACGCAGTATGGCTCACATAACGCTCCTACGCTCATGTTCACTTAAACCCCAGTATTTGTAGTCATTTGTGCTCCATGTTATAGGCCTGGCCCTTTTCTTATAAGTGTCTTTTTGTCCTTGTATGACCTTGCATTTGGTTGTATTAAAACAGGTTGTTCCCTGGCCTGTATAATGGACCTACCCCAACTTTGTTTTGCACTTATGTTTTTATCTCACCTGCAAAGTGCGGCAGCGGTGGTTTTAGGTCTTCTTAAAGATCATTGACAAAGATATTGAAGAGCCCAGGACCAGGACAGATCCCTGTCGCATCTCTAGAAATGCCTCGGTGGGACGGGTACCAGGAAACGAAGGCCTGACAAGACCATTAGGTTGTCTAGTCCAACCTCCTGTATATCACAGGACCGTGTTCCCCACTTACAGAGCTAACAGTTGATCAGGTAGCCAATGGCTTCACTGGTTTTAATAGGGTGCTAATTACTTTATTACAGGGGACTCGGTCAAGCTCAAGTATATCATAGCCCTCAGTGGGAGCAGGTGACAGGACAAGGAGCAATGGGCTCAGGCTGCAGCAAGGGAAGCTGAGGTTGGATATTAGGAAGAACTTTCTCACGAGGAGGGGGAAGCACTGGAACAGGCTCCCCAGAGAGTCTCCATCCTTGGAGGTGTTGAAGACCCGGGTAGACGAAGCCTTGTCCAGGATGACGTAGTTGGGACCGGTCCTGCTCGGCGCAGGGGGTTGGACTCTGACTCCTGAGCTCCCTTCCAGGCCTCGTTTTCTCTGATTCTGTGATTTCTATATCAGTCCCGGTTTGTCTAGCAGCAGACTCGTGGCTTCACCCATATTCTGCCGTGCGGGTTGAACCCCAGCTAGCGTCTTGCTCTTTCTGATGACACGCTCCGTGTTTCAGGGCGACAGCCGGAAGCTGGAGGAAGCCGGCTGCTACCTGCACCTGCCTTTTACCGGAAGTGTGTCCGAGGCAAAGGCTCTGTCTGGTGCCTCTTTCCGAGTGAGCAGCAGCATGGCTGGCATCAGCGTCTCTTCCCGGGACAGCTTCCAGATCTCTACCCTCGTCTGTTCCACGAAGCTGACCCAGAACGGTACGTAGCAGCCCCCCTCGCTCCGGCCCGCGCCCACGCCCACACCAGGACCATTGCGTTATTCCGAGCTGTCCGGTCCCGTGTGCCCTCGGTCCCTACGTTGTATCCACAGGACCTTCTCCGTGCACCCCCTGGGCGCGCACGCAGCTGCACAGCACACCGTGTCTTTTTGTAAATGCTGGTGCTTTACAGTTAAAGAAAATAAGTGGCTAAGTCTTTAGCTCCCTGAAGTCCAAGAGCTGGAAGGTATCAGCCCTGCAGCACTGCAGGCCTAGTGTCTCCTGGGGATATGTCATGGGGGGGGCTTTCAGCCCAGACATTGGCACAAAAGATGTCTGGCAAAGGTGTCGTGTGATGATCTCCCTGCAACCTGCGGGCGAGGAGATGTGAAAGACGAACTCTAGCACTGCTCTGAAAATGGCTGAATAATTAGCCTCAAGGGCTTTTGCAGTTGTTGTCTCTTTGGGACACGACCCAAGATCAAGCAAAGAGATGCTTGGCCTAATTGCTGGCTCTGCAAACAGTGCCAGAGTCAGGGACGCACACCGGGCCTTGTTGTACCGATGCCAGCGCCGGCGACGGAGCAGCTGGCGCCTGCTCGGCAGAGGCTGTGCTCGTCGATCAGTCACACACTTCTGTGGCCCCGGCATGGCGGGGCTGGGCTGCCCCAGAGTCCGTTCCTGGATTTACCGCAGATGTCCGTAAGACGGGAAGTGCTACCATCTCCGTCCTGCCAGTCACTCGGGCAGAGCAGCCAAGTCCGGCTCCGGGTAGCACCAGTCTCGGGGGCGCTCCTGGCAGGCTTTCACTTACGAGGCTGACTTGAGCCGATAGCAGCCAACTGCTTTGACTTCCTCTGCTGAGGGGTCTTCTCGCTGCCTGGGGTCGTTTTTCAGAATTAAACACAGGGCCACATCCAGTGGCAGCGCGTAGGCCCTGAATGGAGGTAAGGTGCCAAGGTGTGAGCCATTCGTCCTGCCCCTGTCCTTGAAAAGCAGCAAGTGCCGAAGGTGGGTGGCTGGGGCATTGGTAGGAGCATTGCCAGATCGAGGCAGCGATTCTTCCCCTCTTCGGCACTGGGGCGGCCACATCTGGAGTCCTGTGTCCAGCTGTGCCCCCACTACAGAAAGGATGTGGACACATTGGAGAGAGTCCAGTGGTGGGCAACAAAAATGGTTTGGGAGCTGGGGGACATGACGGGTGAGGGGAGGCTGAGGGAGCTGGTCTCATTGAGTCTGCAGAAGAGAAGACCGAGGGGGATTGAATAGCAGCCTCCACCTCCTTGCTGGGGGGCTGCAAAGGGGATGGAGCTGGACTGTTCTCCGTGGGGGCAGATGACAGGAGCAATGGGCTCAAGCTGCAGCAAGGGAAGTTGAGGTTGGATATTAGGAAAAACTCTCTCACAAGGAGTGAGAAGCACTGGAGCAGGCTCCCCAGAGAGGTGGTGGAGTCTCCATCCTTGGAGGTGTTGAAGACCCGGGTAGACAAAGCCTTGGCTGGGATGATGCAGTTGGGGCTGGTCCTGCTCGGAGCAGGGGGCTGGACTAGATGTGACCTCCTGAGCTCCCTTCCACCCTCGTTGTCTGTGACCCGATGATTGTGGTCGCTGGTTTGGTGCCTGGGGCGGGAGCCGAGGGGGCTGTAGAGAAGCGCAGGCATGTTGACATCTCTGGCAGCTCTTGCCAGGGTAGAGCGTGCGCTGAGAGAGCACAGGGTGAGAGGCAGCAGACAGGCCTGGAAATAACACTGACAACTATGCCAACTGCTCCACATGGGCATCTAAAGCTAATGGGGAAGGATCAGCGGATACGCAAATGTGGAGCCAAATGTTCCCTTTACTGAAAGCCTGAATTGAGCTGTGGTCTCAAAACGCTCCAAGCGAGGGCTGTGCAGCCCACGTGTCCCTGAGACCATGCAGAAAGCCCCACGGACATTTCATCGGGCTTTGCCAGCTCATGCTTCTCAGTGCATTACAGCGAAGCCACAGCTAACAACCATGCCTCTCCACACGCCTGCCGCAGCGGCACTGAACCTGCCGGCTTCCTGTGATCCAAAGCAAACGTTGCAGCAGCTCCCCGCAGCCCTGAAAGAACTTGGTGGGTTATTAAAATGCTGCATTGTCCTGCCCCGAAGCAGTCCCCGCATCTGCAGGGGTCCCGGCTCGTCCCACGTGCAAGCAGCTCCTCTCTGGCAGGTGGAGAAGCTGCTTGTGAAGCTGAAGGCTGTGCCCCGGGAAGCTGCTGATGGCAGCTCTGCCGAGGGTCTGTGCGCAGGCAGTGACAGCAGCTCGCAGTTGGGGGGACGCGGCCTGTGGTCTCTTTGTCTGTGATAATGGCACAAGTGAGGCTGGGAGCTGTTCGGATCCGGTTCCTTCCCTCCCTGCTGCACAGCTCGAGCTTCTGTAGCAATAACCCTTTATTCAGCTCCATCGTGTATTTCTGATGTACAAAAAGGCTGGCAGCCCACCTCCCACGCTGCGCAGCAGCTGTGTTGCGCCGGGCAGAGCAGCGTGGGGGTGTCGAGGCCATGGGGCCGTGGCCTCACTGGGAAACTCTCACCGTGGCTGAGGACGCCGCACGGTCGACGGGCTGAGAGCAAGCGCTGCAGGCCAGAGCAGGTGGTTTCACCACCTGCATGAAAGCAGCGTGGGCTTGCTCCCGTCCAGGCCAGCTCAAGGTTTGCCTCCGGGCTCACGGTCCGTATGGCCGGAGCTTGGGCAGACGGGGAGCAGCCTGGCCCCTGTGTGTTGCATTGCCCACGACATGGCATGGTGCAGTTGTAGGGGGGGTCTCCAGGTCCCTTATCTAGCTGCCGTGCCAAGCTGGTCGCACCCGGAGGCTCGCACACGTATGGTGCCATAGGCCTGAGCAGAGAGACAGTCAAGGGGGAAACTAGGTTTTTGTGGAGTGCACGAAACCGGAGGGGAGCAAGGATGGGGTCCACCCTCTTGTGCTATTGCACCGTGCTTGCTAGGCAGCCAGGGACTGGCTGAGACGGCTTGCAGCTCCCTGGGTGCTCCATCGGTTCGGCGTGCACCCGTCTCTGTTTGTTGCTTGCTGTCTTCCCCCCATCAAACCTCCAAGGAGCAGCGTGCTGAGCTGTCTGCTCTATGGGGCTGAAGCTGTGGGACGGTCCGGGAGCTCCCAGAGCTGCAGGCATTGCTCCCTCACTGGGAAGTGTTTCTGTCCCAGGCAAAGATCTCTTTCTCCAGCTGTGCTGGGGCCAGCGGACGTGGGCAGCTGGACGGGGGTGACAGGTGGAGGAGCCAAGGAGCGCTGGCTTGGACGTGTGGTCCAGGGGCTGGGTCCTGGCCTAGGCCAGCATGGCACAGTGACAATGCTGATGCCCAAGTTTCTTTGCACGCAGTTGACCTGCTCGGGCTGCTGAAGTGGAAGTCAAAGCCAGAGCTCCTGGCTGGAAACCTGCAGAAGCTGACGAATGTGGATGGAGGGGAAGTCATCAAGGTATGAGGCCCTTGGCAGCCTGGGTCTGCAGGACGCCTCCTCCTTCCTGAGTCCGGTCTCTGTGGTCCCCAGGGTCTGAGCCTCCAAACCTGAGCATTGCCTCTCTTAGCCAGACAGAAGTGGGCAGTGGAGACCCAGCTGGCAATGCCTTGGGAGCAGGCCAGGCTAGTCCAGGGGAAAGGCAGGCACCGAGGGAGCTGGCGCAGAGCAGCACGAAGCCCCGGGCTGTGCCGGGCGCACGCGCAGAAGGCTCCCGCATGGAGCGGGGCCGGGAGGGAGACCTCGTGTCGGCTTTTGCACCTCGTTGCTCCGAGAGCCAGTGGCAACCCGGGGGACCCTCAGGGAAGAGCCGTGGGAAAGACCGGGGTGACTTGGGGCCGGGTCATTGCAACGTGTCAGGGTCATGTCCAGAGCACTGCAAGGGGCTAGGAAATACCCGGGCTCAGAGGGCCGGCGCTGGTGAGAAGTTACACTGACCGGACAGGGAAGCACGGGGATGCGAGACTCCCAGGAGAGGCTTAATTTGGAAAAGGCTGCAGGTGTCAGCAGCTGATAGAAACTGTGCCCGTCCCTTGGGGCATGACAACGGGCGGGAGTTTGCTCCGGTGCCTCAGTCTTTGGGGCAGGCGGTGTTGGGGGAGGCAGTGGCGCCAGAGGCTGGGCTCAAGCCCTGGCTGTCCCCGTGCACCCCCCAGTTCCTGCAGGACACCCTGGACGCCTTGTTCTCGATCATGATGGAGTACGCGGAGACCGACATCTACGACACGCTGGTCTTCGATGCCCTTGTAAGTGAGCCCGTTCCCTCTTCCCAGCCCCGGGTGTGGGGGCCCCCCCGCCCCCCCACGGCCAAACTCCTGCGCTCCTCGGGCTCCCCCGGCTTTGCCGTCGCTTGGGCGGGGGCTGAGTTTGGCTTCCCTACACCACGGCCATCCCTGATCCAACCGGGGGGCCAGTGGGAGCATCCAAAAGAAGCTTCTCAAAGTGGGGGCAGCTCTTGAGACACCCCGGGTAGGGCCTCTGGAGCCATCCAGCCGTGGCCCTTCCAGGTCTGTTCATCTCGGGGTGCACGCCTTGCTGCTCCCCTGCACCCGAGGGCTGTCCACGCCGCTTGGTACAGAGGGCTGCCCCCTCCAAGCCAGCACTGGCCCCAAGGCCTTTGCCCCCGTGCTGTGCTGAGCGTCTCGGGGAGCAGCAGGATGACGATCTGGATCTGCAGGATGCCCCTCCTGAGCCAGTGCAGACCCCAGGACACCGCTGTGCTGGGGCCGGGTTGCCCCTGACGCCTGCCTCGGTTTCCCCGGCAGGTTTTCATCGTGGGGCTCATTGCCGACAGGAAGTTCCACCACTTCAACGCCGTCCTGGAGGCCTACATCCGGCAGCACTTCAGCGCCACGCTGGCCTACAAGTAAGCGCCCGCGTGGCCGCGAGGGCGGCCGTGTGTGGAGTTTGCCTGTGTCAATCGCGGGGTGTTTTCTGCTGAATTGGCTCGTGCCGGTGCATGGGGCTGGGGGTGTTTATCTGTGAACGCCCGGGACAAATGTAACGGCCTCCACAAGCACCAGGTCCCGGTGCTGCCCTCTGCCCGGCGGCCGTGGGCCAGGACCTGCAGCGCTGCACCCAGAGGCATGGCTGCGCTAGGCTGGCCGTGCGGGGAGCCTCAGTTTGCTGCTCCTCCCTTCGGGGTCTGGCACCGGGGAGCTGTGGGGGTGGCTCTGCAGCACCCCTTACACCAGGACATCGAGAGCCCCCCGCAGCCCAGGCTGTGCCCCGGGGGGCTGGGTTTAAGAGCCCCACGCGCCTTGCAGCCCCTCTTCCCACCTTTCTTTCTCCACCTGGCAGGAAGCTGATCTCCGTGCTCACGCAGTACGTGGATGCAGCCGGCCGAGGGGAGCCCTGTGACCCGCTCATGCTCACGTTCAAAGCCCTGGAGTACATCTTCAAGTTCGTCGTGCGATCCAGGCAGCTCTATGCTCAGTAAGTGCCGCGGGCGTTCGCACGTCTCCACGCTTCGCTTCTGCAGCCCGGGCGCTGTGCGGGGCCGGAGGCGAGGGCTGACCCCGGCGGCGAGCCGCACTGACTCCTCCTTGCAGCAGTGGCATTTCCTGGGGCGCGGGGTTAGGACGGCGAGTGGGCTCCTCCTGGCACTCAGCGGCTGAAGTCCCAACCCCCGCATCTCCGTGCCAGTTCCCCCCCTTCCCTGCCCTGCACCGGGCTCATGTCCTGGGCTCCCACCTTAGTTATGCTGTGGCCGGTGCCTCGTCTCAGTCGGATGCAGGATTGTTTTACCTGCTGTCCATAAACAGGGTGCAGCAGCATCTCTGTTACCTCTCGCCTTTCACCTGCGAGGCAGCTGCATTTCAGGGGGGAGGAGACGATCCCCCCACGAGGCAGGCAGGAGCAGACAGCCATGGCCTTAGCATGGGCAGATCTGCCGACTGCTCTCGGCGAGCACCAGAGCTCCCCATAAAGCTGCTGCGTGGCGGCCGCGCCTCCTAAGTGACCGCAGCGTGCCTGACCCGGAGTGCGGCTGGCGCGGTGTGAGCCTTTCCGTTTAGCGTGTGAGGCACGACTGGGCAGTTGGTGCTTCACCGTGCAGTGGCCGGCGGGTCCGTTTGGGAGGCACTCCAGCGGGGGCCAGCCCAGACGGTGAGTCCGTGGCACCGCTCGCAGTCCTGCCGGACCCCCTCTGCCTCCCCTGGGGCTCGGGGCCGCTTGCCTGGCCACAGAATCACTCTGGAGGAGACGCCTGTTGCAAGCTGTGGTCCGGCTCCGTATGTGTTGGTCTAGCTCCGAGCGGCACCTGGCGCTGAGAGCACTTTTCCTGCTTGGACGTGTTCCCCCTGGGCGCTATCCGGGCAGGGAGCTGGGTGGGGGAAGCAAGGGCAGTCAGACAGGGCTGTGTGTCCAGCTCACGCGGGAATGCAGCCACCTGCATACGTGGCACGATTTCGGGGCACGCCGCAGCTTCTGCCCCTACCAGTGCCTGCTTGACTGAGTCCAGCCACCTCTGCTTTGCCTCCCCACAGGCTGTGGCTGGAGGGTGTGGATGCTGCCAATGCCGGGGGCAGGCAGGGCAGCTCCTTCGTGCTCGGGGGCTGCCGTGGCTCCCCTGGTAGTCACGCAGCTCCTGCCCTGGCTCTACGCTTGGGGAGCCCTCTCCCCTCCTGGTCTCACCTGCTGCCGCCTTTGATGTTAAACTTAATTTGGAGGGAGGCTGCAGGAGGTTTCATAGTTTCATAGCTGGTGGGACCTGAGTAGATCATCGAGTCCGACCCCCTGCCATGGCAGGAAAGAGTACTGGGGTCAAACGACCCCAGCAAGGTGTTCATCTAACCTCCTCTTAAAGACCCCCAGGGTAGGGGCCAGCACCACTTCACTTGGAAGTTGGTTCCAGACTGTAGCCGCCCTGACCGTGAAGTCGCGCCTCCTGATATCTAGTCTGAATCTCCCCTCTGCCAGCTTGTGACCGTTATTCCTGGTCATTCCTGGTCATGCTCGGGGGAACAGGGACTCCCCCAATGCCTGCTGATCCCCCCTGACTAGTTTGTAACAGGCCACCAGGTCCCCCTCAGCCTTCTCTTGTGGAGGCTGAACAAGTTCAGGTCCTGTTGCCTCTCCTCGTGGGGCCTGCCCTGCTGTCCCCGGATCATACGAGTGGCCTCCTCTGGACCCTCTCCATGGTGTCCACATCCCTCCTGAAGTGCGG